AAATGAACGTATGTATAGGACATCTTGCTATGTACAAATGAATTCATCAGCAGAACACCAGACACCAGATGAGCCCTGTCGCTCTGCGGCACTTGTTTGTCAATGTGATGAGGTACAGGAAAGCCACTCTTGTCCAATTACTTGTTAGTATTGTTTATTCACGGTTTTATAGTGTACGGTGTTATACATAGTAGTCATTAGAAACACATAAACATATTTATGGAGTGAACATGCAAGCGCTCTTATGGGTGTGTGTTCCTGCTTTGATGCTCTAAAGTTCAGAATATGCAAAGGTACCACTGCACAGAATCTACTTTTATTAACCGATTCCAATTTTATTAAAAATTGTTTTCATTGTGTAATACAAACACTGTTTACCTCTGTCACACTGTTTTGATAGTCTAACATACTAATATACATATACAACTCTGACTTGACATTCTAGTCTTTAGTGTTAGAAAGTTACATTCTTCTAGAACTATATCTTTAGAGATCTCTATTATGTACTCTTGATATTGTGCATGTACCAACCTTTGGTATATATATATATTGAAACCAGTGGTCAGAAAGCACGTTACTCATGCTGACCTGTGATACTTATTTCTGACATCTAATGGAGCTTTTTCAAAATTCTGACTGGGGTAGAAATTAACTTTTGATCACGGGAGTCCAACGGACTCCCTACCCTCAAAAAGAGGTAGTCCGCAGCAAAATGAGGGAGTCCGCAGTCTGAAGTTCAAAACTAAAGATATATAAAACAATAACGCATGCACTTATTTTTAAGATTCATGCGGTTGCACGTCTGCCAAATTGTCTTGGACATTAGCTGAAAAAATATGGTAATTCCGCGAGGTCGTGCTCTGGAACAAACTATTGTTAGTATATGGCAGGTTTTTCAGGGAGTCAAGGACTCGTGCATATGTCAAATCAGGGAGTCCGACAGTAAATCAGAGAGTATTTGACTCTGGACCGTTAATTTTGCACCCTGTTCTGAGATGGCATCATGGCTGGAGCACACCTCCATTTTATCGAAGTGCATTTGTATGTTCATTCTATAGATATGTTATTGTTAATGACAGAAGTCATGGTTGAGCAAGAATGTGATCATTATGATTATAAAATATTAGGCAGATAACTGCTATAATTTATAGTATCATGCAAATTATTTTTCCGCAGTTCATTAGCAGACTTTGTGTGTTGGAGGGGTCTCCTTACCAAAATTATGTGCACGCCATATGAAAACAGAGAAGGCTGGATCGTGTGTGTAACTAAGTTCAAGAACACATACTACATGTGTGAGTTTGAAACAGGTAAGAAGGAAGTAAGTATACTATAAGTCATAAATTGCTTTGCAATTTTAAGTTACATTTTAATTTATGTAACAGGTTGCGCAATTATTGTGGGTGCAGGGGTAGAAATTAATTTTTGAACAAGGGAGTCCAGCGGACTCCCTACCCTCAAAAAGAGGGAGTCTGCAGCAAAATGAGGGAGTCCGCAGTCTGAAGTTCAAAACTGAAGCATTTTTAACAACAATGACACATGTGCACTGCTTATTTTGAGAATTCACGCGATGCATGTCTGCCAAATTTTCTTTGTACGTCATTTGCTGAAAAAATATGGTAACTCTGCGAGACAGTGCTCTGGAATGAACTAGTAGAATTTTCAGGGAGTCACACGGACTCCTGCATATGTCAAATCAGGGAGTTCGACAGTAAATCAGCTCGCATTAATTTCGCACCCTGTGGGTGTGTATAATCTTGGGCTTGCGTGTTTAGTGATTATATCAAGAGCTAATAAACACCTAGAGTGTACAATGAAAAAACGGGAAAATAGTGCTATTTTACGGCAATATTATTCTACTTTGCCTGCGAGTCTAGAATAATTTTATGGTAT